CACATACAAAGTCAACACACAAAGTCAGCAGTTTTCTATCGATCAATAATGCCCTTCTATTGATAATGCACATGCTAAGAAGGAAACAAATCTTACAATAGCCTCAAAACAAGCATAAAACCAACAAAGGACTTGAAAGACTTGTATCATGGAAATTTTGAAACAGTGCCTAAGAATTTAAAGAAACAGTGCCTAAGAATTTAAAGAAGGCACTAGAAGGCAGGCCTTCCACTCTTTTTTTTTTTTTTTTTTATCGAGACAGGGTTTCTCTGTATTGTTTTGGAGGCTATCGGTCCAGCCCGGCCTCGAACAGAGATCCGCCTGTGTCTGCCTCCTGAGTGCTGGGATTAAAGGCGTGGGCCACCACTGCCCGGCCGGCCTTCCACTCTTAATGGACTGGCGGGATTACTGCTATGAAAATGGTTATATTACTAAAAGTGGTCTACAGATTCAGTGCAATCCCTATCAAAAGTAATGATGCTCTACAGGAAGAGAAAACATCCTTAAATTTATATGGAGTCCCAAAAGACGCTGAATACCAAAGCAACCCTAAGCAGTGACAACAATGCCGCCATATCATCCTAATCTCAAATTATACTACAAGGTCTCGGTAACAATACTAGAATGTTACTCACACAAAACCAAACAAACCGATGGAGTAGAGTCTCCCGAAATAAACCCACATAGCTACCTATAGCCTTTTGGTTTACAACAAATATGGCAAAAATATATATCAGAGAAGTGATGTCTTTCTACAAATGATGTTGGGAAAAACAAGTTATCTTGGAAATCTAAAACTAGAACACCATATCTCACCCTGTATGAAAATCAATTCATGATGGATCAAAGACCTGAAAATTTGAAACTTCTAGAAGAAAAAAGAATAGAAGAAACACTTCGATACAGGTATTGACACAAAAACAGATGTAATCTCAAAGGGGCAAGAGATAGTTTATTCTATGAGTGATCATGGCTCTGGAATCTTGAGTTAGGTTACTCCAAATCCCATGTCCAAATGAGGTAGCATCTTAATGAACTTTTTATAGTGACAGAATAAAGGAAAGTTATAGTCAAGGTATTTTCCAAATAGGTTTGTGGGTGCAGCGGATAGGTGGGCTAAAGCAAGACAGAGCTCTGCTTTAGGTCTTAGATGCATCTGATAACATGTATCCCTTTGATTGGTTTTGGTAAGTTAATATATAGTGGAAGTTTTTTTTAATCTGTTAGGATATTAGGTCTATTAGTGATGAAGTATTTGTTCTGACATAGCTCAAGGAATGGCTATTGAGTAGGCTGAAGATAGCCCAAGATAAACTGTAATTAGGTTTTGGGTCTGTAACATTCCATTCTCTCCTCATGGCTACAGTTTTAGTTAGTGTATCAACCTTCACAGACACAGTTTCTTTCCAGGAATCCTTGTCCACACAGCAGAGGCAAGGACTTTCTGAAAAGGACTCTAATAGCTCAGGAAACAAATGCAAAAATTGACAAATGGGATTGCATGAAATTAAAAAGCTTTGGCACAGCAAAAGAAACAATTACCAGGGTGAAAAGTCAGCCCACAGGATGGGGAAAATCATTGGTAGCTATTCATCTACAGGGGATTAATATTGAGAGCATTTAAGGAGCTAAGAAAATTAAACACCAAAAGACAAATCATCCAATAATGAATTGAACAGGCAGTTTTCAAAAGCAGTAGCACAAATGGTCGATAAGAATGTGAAAAAATGCTCAGCATTTTCAGCTGTCTGGGAAATTCAAGTCAGAACGACACTGAGATGCTTTCCCTATCATCCCTGAAGAATGGCTGTGTTCTAGTTTGGTCTTCTTGCTGCTGTGGTGAAGCAATCACTGGCTGAAATCAATTTAGAGTAGGAAAGGGTTTACTTGGCTTGTACTCCTAGGCCACAATACATTACTGAGGGGAGTCAGGGCAGGAACTGAAGCAGAAACCGTGGAGGAACACTGGCCTCTGCTCAGCTGTCTTCTGCCTAGGGATGGTACTGCCCACAGCGGACTGTGTCCTTCTACATCAAGTAACAATCAAGTCAAGGTCCCGTAAACACGCTCGCAGGCCCCCTTTCCAGCCGATTCTAGCTTATGTCAAGTTGACAATAAAATCTAACCAGTACAAGGTATCATCAATAAAACAAGTCCTGGTGCGGATGGCAGTGGGGGGTGGGGCTTATGCAGTGTTGGTGATAATGTAAAGCTGTGCTCGTGCAGCACCTGTGGAAATCCGTAAGACGATTCCCCAAAGAACTGAAAGTTAGATATACCACATCTTTACACACACCACAGAGACACGTGCACACCCATGCTTACCTGGCACCGTGTGCAATAGCCAACATATGGACTTAGCGCTGTTCTCCACCAGAAGATGAACAGATGAAGAAAATGTGGCATAAACAGACAATGGAGCTTTATTCAGACATACAAAAGATAAAAATTTCCATTTTTTTCAGGAAAAGGAATGGAACAGGAGATCAAATAAAATAAGCTAGACAGAGAAAGATGAATATCGCCTGTTCCATCTTATATGTGGAATCTAGATTGGAAAAAACACATGAAAATGGGCAGGAGACTACTTGAGGAGAGAAAGATGATTAGTGGGAGTTGGGCAGGAAAGAATATCAAGAATGAATAAAAGAAAAATGCAAAATACATGTGTTTCCATGTGTCATAGCAGAACCTATTGTTTTGTACAATGAATATACTGATGTATATACTAATAAAAATACGATGGTTTTTCTCCCAAAAGTTCTAGATGAATGCCACAATACTTGGTGAAAGGTGAAATGTTGTGAACTCCAAGTGCAGAAAGTTGGAATAGGAGAGGAGAGGAGCAGAGAAGAGAGGTGAGAACCATGGAGAGGGAGTTCTGTCTCAGCATTGACACAGAGCAGAGGGATGGCATCATCAGTGCAGGATGCTGAGCAGTTTTCTAGAATCAAAGAATTCTGGTGACAGATTGAGGACACATGATGCGGTGGCTTGAATAGAAATGACCCCCAAAGGACCACAGGGAATGGCAGCATTAGGAGGTGTGGCTATGATTAGACTCAATGTACTATGTGGAGGTCTGGAGCATGCAAGGCAAAGCCACGCTCGCCTTGGAAAGGAGGAAAAGCAGTACACATATATGAAGGACCTGGGTTCATACGGCCCTGGATTTTAACAACCTCACTGAGGGCACAAAGATGGGATGGGGGCAGTCCATGGCGCAAAAGAATGGAGAGACTCTTAGAAACAGAGAACTCAAATTTGTACCTTACAAACGCTCTTGGTGAAGAAGCTGCCAGGCTGTGTGTGAGCCTAACTTAAGAGCAGATGGGGAAGAAGGAGGCGTGGGCTGAAGGGAACAGGCACTAACGAGGAAGGGCCAGGGACATGGAGAGCCAGGGTGACCCCAGGACACCAGCCTGGGCTTTGACAATGCAAGCCCATGACAAGTCCCGAACAAGCCTGAAGTGCAGCCATGGGGGCACCTCTGGGCATGCTCAGAGGCAGAGAATGTGGAGTGGCCTTGCCCTCCTCACCACGCCCACACACAGCTTGCCAAACCCCAGCCTTGTGTCAGAAAGCCTCGGGAGGAACCATGTCCACTCTGGGGAGATGGAAGCGAGACCATACCTCAAGCTGACTTGTAGCCATGGCCCCCGCCCAAGGAGCCCTACTGCAATAGGCTTGTAGCTGCATGTGTGTGGTCTTTTTGTCTGCTTGTTTCTTTTCTTTCAATTTCTTGAGACAAGGCCCTTGCTCCACAGCTCAGGCTGGCCTGGAACACACTGCGTGGTCCAGGTTGGCCTCAAATTCATGGTGATCCCCTTGCCTCAGCCTCTTACATGCTGGTATGACAGGCATTGCCCATCTTGGCTTTGCTGTGAGTCCGACATACTTCCCAATGATGAAATAATTAAAAATCATTGAAAAAAGAGAGCGAGGCAGACACAGCCTTTGCTTCCCATTTTCCTCTGCACATTGAGGCTGTTCTGACTTCTGTGGGAACCAGGCAGCTCATCACGTCTGCTCTCTACCCCCCCCCCGGCTAGCAAGTCCCCTATCTCTGTGAGCACTCCTATCCATCTTTCTGTAAAATTGGGGCATAAGAACCTCTTGGTAGGGCAGATGCCCCTATTCCTGTAATAATAACCACCTGGTAAGCTGGCTGAGCACAGGGCTGTGCAAAACACCCCTATCCTGATGGGTGTGTGAGCGTTGTATTGCACTTGGATTATAATTCTGCAACCATGGGCCTTGGCCAACCTGCTTCTCATCAGTGGCCTGGGGACTGTCTCCATCTGGTTACTTACCACACCCAGAGTCTCTCAGTCAGAACCTCCCTCTGTCGGTTCCCTGCCCTTGTGTGGGGATGGTTTCCACAGCCCTGTATGGTGTTGTGCTGGGCCATGGTTTTGATATTATCCTTCTGAGCTCCACAGTGTAATACAGACAGGGCAATAAACCTGGGTTAGGCTAGAGCTTGGGCTGTGGTATACAGTAACTGTTCCCTGAACACCATTTGTACCATGCATGTAGAGTAGTTCAACACAAGGGTTCCTAAAGCCGGGAGATCTGGAGAAACGACCTGTCCATTATGGCCTACAGGCTGGTGGAGGAGGGCCATTGAGATCTCTGGTTCACACCTAGTTTGGTGGGCTGGGATGGCTGAGTCCCAAGGTTGCGTGTGTCCATCAAGCAGGAACGCAGGAGGAGGGAGTTGAAATTGAGTTAGGGCCCGAGGAGTGGGTGAGACTGGCAACAGTGTATGGGCATCAGGGAGGGATGGTGAGGAGGAGACATTCTGAGAGAGAGATGGGGCTGCAACCAGATGGTTGGTTCCTGCATATGAGCCCCGGGGCCCTAGTGGACCTGCACCAAGAAGTTATTTCAAGGGTACAAACATACAGAAATCACCCAGGAAAGCTCAGAAACCGTGTGCACCCACATGCGTTGAGCCCCTGGGGAACTAGTCTATGTGCCAGCGGAGGGAGGCTTACCGTGGACTTGGTCATGTGCTCCAGGGACAGCCGCATGAAGTCTTTCTGCCATTTCTCCTGCAAGACATCAGGGACTCTGAGGACGGCCTGCAGGACCTGGAAGAGTCGGAATCTGTGCCGGCTGGAGATCTGGAGGACAGAGGTTATGTCAGACCATGGTTCTGACAGCACAGGGGATGCCAAGGAGAACACCGCAGGGGTATGCAAGGAGGCTGGAGGGAGGGGCACAAGCGGGCACATTCATTTGGCAATTCTCAGGGTGTACACCCGCCTTGTGCTGACCTTGAGCTTGACCTACAGACCCGAGAGGAAGACAAGCTTGTCTCTGTTCTCAGTGAACAGCTGTGGGATTTAAAAACTCCACCTCCAAAGGGAGGTCGTCTCTCTCTCAGCACTCAGACAGGTTTTCTCTTATCTACGCATTAATGCATCCAAGCATTAGCAAATGAATGCATCCATCCCCACGTTCTCGTCACCCACACATCCCTCCTTCCTTCCCTATATCCAGTGACCCCTCCATCAATCACTATATCCATCTGCCCACCAATCCATCATCCAGCCATTTCTCCGCTACCCCCTCCTCATGTAGTCACTCATCAGTTTCTACCATTTACTGGTTCTGTGACCTTAGGTAAACCCCCTCTTCCCTAAGCATAGCTTCTCATCTTTGATAGTTATAACCTCCACCTCAAAGAGCTATGGGCATGGTGGGACCACGTGAGTACACTTTCCTTCCTCCCTCCTTAGCCTATTGGCATGCAAAGAGATTGAGATTTTACCCCAATGGTGCAACTGCCCTATGTAGGATTCAGAGTTTAAGCCCCACTTAGAATCAAACCCTCCCCTATGCTCCCATCCCTGCTGCAGGGGCCCAAGCAGTATCACCTCTGGATTGTCTTTGAAGTAGTCATGGATGGTTTCCATCACCAGGTTGGGGGACTTCTGAGCCATCTTCTTCATCTTCTTGGTGATGTGCTTGAGCTGGAGAGGGTCTGAGGTGCCTACGTCCCGGAGCATCTTGAAGCAGATGGCTGAAGTTGACAAGAGGAGTGTGAGGATGGTGGGCCTTGGGGATGCAATGTTGGGTCAGAGGGTTGGGTGGGTAAGGAGGGACAAGCATTTAGTGAAAGCAAGAGCTGGATGTATCGGGAAGCAGTCTGATAGTCTCACTTTCTGCTCGGTCCGTCCTGGGTTTAAGATAGGACAGAGCAGAAATGTGTGCTCATCGGCATACTCTTATTCTCTCATTCATATTTCCCTCTTATTCATTCACCCATCCATTGACCCACATATCCACCCATTCATCCCTATTTCTGTATACCAAGTGACCTAGCTCTGCATTTACCTGTCTGTCTATTTCACATTTGTTTAAGCACCCATTCCCTGGCGCCCTCACAAATCCACCCACAAGTCAGTCCATTCATCCACCTGGCTAACTACTATCTATTCATACCTATTTTGAACAGTTTAACAATATATCCACACACAGCCATACATTCACTCAAAAATCATTTCTTTATTCTTACATGTATCAATTCTTTGATTTCCCCACTGTTTATCCAGTCATCTGACACTCCTTGGCATTAGAGGGAAGAGGAAAGAATTCCAGAAAGAGGCGTCCAGGTCTACATTGAAGTTCCGAGGTGTAAAATGGTGTGGTTAGAGAGGAAGTGTGTTTAAGAGGAGGAGGGGACATTTTTAATTTATTTTGTTGGTGCTCCAGAAGGCAGGAACAAGCCAGGGGTCTCACAGACAGCTATCCACAGCCTTTGCGCTACACAGAGTCCTGGAGAGGGCCTCCTCCTAGTCCTCACCTTGAGAACTGCTTCTGGGGGTGGGTCTTTTTTTTTTTTTTTGGTTTTTTGAGACAGGGTTTCTCTGTATTGTTTTGGAGGCTGTCCTGGAACTCGCTCAGTAGACCAGGCTGGCCTCGAAATCACAGAGATCCGCCTGCCTCTGCCTCCCGAGTACTGGGATTAAAGGTGTGCGCCACCAACGCCCAGTTCTGGGGGTGGGTCTTGATGGGACCTCTTGTCAGGCTGTATTCCAGGCCCTCCTCACCTGAATTGTAGGCCTCCTCCATAAACATCTGGCGTTCCTTGGGCACCAGGGTAGTCTGGCTGCTTTTGGACCCGCACAGCACAATGGTGGCAGGATGGGACTGTTTGTCCCAGGAGGCAGAGTCCTGAGGTGCCTTGGTGCACAATGACTCCTTCGCAGAAGCAGAAACGTGGGAGAAGATTCTGAAAAGGAGCAAGTTCTGTGTGTAAGCATCACGTGCACTTATGTGTGTTCAGTCTGCTCTGGGTCAGACTCTGCAATGTCCTTCCATGTGTCTGTCCTTCTGTTTAGTTGGCTGGTGAGCCTAGCGGAGGCGGGAGCCTTGAGACTCCAGGACACTGTTGAATAAGCCAAAGTTTCTGCAATTGGGTCTGACGCCACATAGGGGTCATATAACAGCATGCTGTAGCCTCAAAACACTTGATAACAGTAAAAGATTTTGTTTGTGTATATTTATTTATTTATGGTTTTTTTGAGACAGGGTTTCTCTAAATTGTTTTGGAACCTGTCCTGGAACTCACTCTGTAGGCCAGGCTGGCCTCCACCTCACAGAGATCCACTTGCCTCTGCCTCCTGATACTGGGATTAAAGGTGTGAGCCCATCAGCACCCGGATTAGTAAAAGATTTCTGAACATACTACACCAAAAACAAATTCAAAGTCAAGCATGCTATGAGTTGGAGGTGTTTCTGAAAGTGTTTGCCTGCGCTGCATTGCGTGACTTCACCATAACCTACATTCTGAACAAATCACCCACACATTCTGCGCTGTACAGTGTCATGGAAAACAAGGCTTTGGGTATTTCCTTGTCAGCATTATGCACCATGTAACTATCAAATCAGCATAGCTTTGGATTGCATTGTGTTGGGCAAACAAGCCCATCCATCTAATTAGTAGCTAATTTTCTTTCATCTTGATAAGCGGTAAGATCCTACATGCCAGATTAAGACAAATTACTTTATGGCAATGTATGTTCAGCCAGTGTTCGACTTGTATGCCTGTTGTGCGTACCTGTCCATGGGGGTGTTGTATACACTTGTATCCCCGGGGGCTCGTAAAGTTTCTTAGGTAAAAGAGTCTCATGAAGGCCTGGAGAAGAAGCCTGGCCCAACAGGGGTGGTGGACAGACATGCTACGGGTCCAGAAAGGCTCAGAGTGTCTCACCTCAGCTCTACCTCTCTTATGGGCTTGGAGGGCCGGGGTTTTCAGAGTGGCATAGGGGATGTCCTGACGACCCAGGTACCCCTTGAGGGATCTCTGTGAGGGCTGATCTGCAGGAGCAGTAGGGGTAGGAGCACAGAGGATACAGGAAAAGTAGTTCCCCAGACTGGAAGTTGCTGTAAAGGGCCAGAAGAAAAGGTACTCTTGCTTTGGATGCTGCCCAAATCTGGTTCTCCCATGACTCTATCCTGGCTTCTGTTCTCTGCTTCAAGACCCTGTCTGCTTGTTCATGTGTAATTCTCAATTCTGCACACGTCCCAAGGAGAAGGCCTATTCTAAGATGCTCCTTAGGTCCATAAATGAGGAGAACAAACCCATCTGCAGACTAACTAAGAGGACCATGAGGTGTATTAGAAAGAAGCCATCATGGCTATCCTAGCAGGCAGCAGCCTCTAACGTTTATTTATTCACTGTTTTGTATGTGACACTTGTTATAGCATGTCTGACTCCTGTCACCTATGCATCCATGATGGAGCAACCAGGACCAGACTTCTTTCCTGCCTTGTGCAAATCAGAAACTGCCACAAGACACACAATATAATTGTCATTAGGCAATAGACATCATTTGTGCAGGATAACGGTCCCCAAGAGATGGGAAACCTACAGGGTTCCCAGTGGGGACCAGGAAAGCCTGTGAGCTTGGTGAGTTGCTGACTTGGAGGTGATAGTTTTGGGGGATCACAGTGGCCAGTGTTTGAGGGGAGGAGGCCTAGGAGGAACCCTGAAGGTCTATAGAGTGCCCTCCAATGACATCTACATCTGCACTTGGTGCACGCGGAGGTAGCAGCAAAAGAAACAGGCTAATGCAGTACTAGGAAGCATTCCTTTCCCAAATCCACAATGAAGTCATAAGAAGTCACACAGATCACAGGGAAAATCTACCCAAACAAGGATGCTCTTTCTCTCCCTGTCAAAGAGACCAACTGTTTTAACCTTTCTATTCCAGACAGAGGTGAAGAATATTTATGTGTGTAGGAACAGCGTCATACCAAGCAAGGTCTAGTTCCTGGTGTTTGGGCAGTCACTCAAAACTTACCAGGCATGTAACATAGCAAGAAAGCAATACACAAAAAGAAGAAAATTAACAGACCAGAATCAATATGGAGGGCCAAGTATGAGGTACATCCAGCACTAGGGAGGCTGAGGTGGGGGGAAGTCTCAGAAAATTTGGGACTATCGTGGTCTACACGGTAAATTCTGTGCAAGCCAAGGCTACAAACAGATGCATACCAATGCAGGAATCACAGAATCAGTAGAATAGGTGTGTTCAACATGATACAGTGAGACAAAAGGATGCTGAGGAGATGCAGGGAAGAAATAAAAAAGGATGAAAAACACGTTTCAGATTAACACTCAAGTGGGTGACTTGAACAGCAGACTAGATACCTTGGAAGGAGAAACTGGGAAACTGAAAAGATCAAAAAAATGAAACACAGATGAACAATGGAAAAGATGGATTGGAAGCTGTGGGACAACTTACAATATGTCAACAATTTCTGGGCTTGATGAAGACTACAGATACACACATCCAGGACACTCAATGAACCTCAAGCAAGGAAACAAAAAGAATACACCAACTGATATCAAGAAAACACCACCCAAAAAGAAAGACAAGAAAAACAAACAAACAAACAAAAAACCCACCAAGAGTAAAAAGGACCCATTAAAAGTAATTAAAGACTTCAGTGTCATTGTTAGAACAGTGCAAGCCACGTCACACCGACAGCCACGCCCGGTGCAAGCCATTCAAACCCTGAAGTCCAGTATCAGAGACGGTCAAAGGGAAGGGAGATGGCGGGACTCAAGTCTGTGGTTGCGCTGTGAGCAGCAATGCGCAGATGTAATCTGCACTCCCAAGACAGCCTGGGCTACATGATAGAGATCCTGTCTAAAAATAAATAAAACAGGAACTGGAAAGATAGCTGACAGCACTTGTCATTCTTGCAGAAGAGCCAAGTTTGACTCCCAGGACTCACATAGGGACTCACTATTGTCTATAACTTTAGTTTCAAGGATTCCTGACACCCTCTTCTGAACTCTGTGGGCACCAGGCATGCTTCAGCGCACAGAATAAAGAAATCTCCAGTGACTAGCATCTACATGTAAAACTAAAACAGGACATATCAAAACCAAGGAAAGAAAATGGTGGGAACTAGAGGGCCGTTGAGATGGCCGAGCAGCGAGGACATTCTCCATTAGACCTGAGATTAACCCTGAGATCCACATGGGAGAAGGAGAGAATGGACCATGAAAAGTAAAGCAGAAAGAAATAAAACAAATAACAGCAAACCAAGGGGTGGAGGATCTGGGAGAAGTTAAGGTAGGGAAAGAATATGATCAAAATATGCTGTATGAAAAAATAAACAACAAACCTCAAAATAAAAAGCAGAGCCCTTCCTCCCCAAAACCAAGAGAGAAAACCAACAAATCCTGATACTTTTTCTTTGAAAAGTCAAATTCATCAATGAACTCCTTGTGGGGTTATTGGAGGGGAAAAAGCAAAACGGAGAAGATAAAAATCAATAATTTGAAAGAGTGGTGCATAAGCCTACAGGTGTCTGCAGGATGGTAAGGGAATACCATGAATAACTTTACTTAAGCTAAGGTGACAGAGTAGACTGAGTAAATCCCTTAAGGTCACGAAAGGCTAACACTCATTCAAGAGGCAAATAAGAAGGAAAGTTCATATATGATAAAAATTACTTTATATTGAAACTCCCTAAAATGAACACTTCAGGTCTAAAAGCTCCTGACTTTTTACAGGATTTTTGGGGAGAAATAATAATGGCATTCATCTGCAAAATAGAAGCTTATGTCTGTAGATGACTAACAGTCCGATTCATTCTGTGAGATGTTCAAGCCTTCTCCTCCTCTTCCTCCCTCTCTTTTCCTGACAGAGTCTGACTGTGTAGCCCTGGGGCCTGTAACTCACAAAATCCAACCGCCTCTGCTCTTTTGGAGCTAGGATTAAGGGTGTTGGGCTACCAGACCTGGCCATCAATGAAGTTGCAAAAAAGGAAAATATAGGCTCATATACTTCATCTACAGACACAAGCTTTCTTAAAAATATGGAGAACCAAGTGGGGCTTCTCTTGAGAATGAGAGGAAATCAACGTAGCTTCCCTTAACAGACTAAAGAAGAAGATCACACACACACACACACACACACACACACACACACACACACACACACACAAACAGATTCAGAAGACATGCTTGAACATGTAACAACTCTTCACAATAGAAAGGGAAATTAGAGGAGACCCCTCAACTTGACAGAGAGAACACAACGCCACCCCAGCTCATACCACGCTCTATGAAAGACAGACTGTTTCCCTCCCAATTAAGGCGGAGGCAAGGGTATCTGCTCTTGTCACTCCATGAAACATTGCTGCAAAAAATCAAGAGAAAGAAATAAAATCTATGTAGAGGGAAGAGACAAACCCTGTCTGTAGAAGCCTGTCTATGTAAGAAAAGTTCCAGAGAACTTACAAAGAAGGTAGAACTAAGAAACAGATTCAGAAAATCTGCACATTTCATCAGTGTATAAAAGCCAGTCATATTTCTATGTACCAGTGATGAGTAACTTGGAATTGAGCAGAAAAGAAGCCAGGCACAGAGGGGCTAACCGTATCATTAGGTACTGAAGGCACAGAGGGGCTAACCGTATCATTAGGTATTGGAGCACAAATGTGACACGCAATCACAGATTAACAGTGCTCAAGAAATCTGAGAGAAACGAACACACCCAGGCTGCCTGCTTGCTTCCTGTCAGCCAGCTCCCTTCACTCTTACACCACTCAGGATGCCCTTACCTTACCACTCAGGATGCCCTTATCTTACCACTCTTACACAACTCAGGATGCCCTTACCAGGAGATGATGCTGCCACACCGGGCAGGGTCCATTAACAATCAGGATAATTTCTCAACAAAGACATGGCCAACCTGGTCTAATAAGTCCTCTATTCAGACTCTCTTCCTAAGTGATTATAGTTGTTTCAAGCTAACACAAAGCTGCTTCTAACAGTTATGTGGGCAGTCAGTTTTGGAGATGGTAGAATTGGGGCACTGGCTTTCATATCGCTGTTCAATACATGTAAAGCTATAGCAACCATGTATTGTGGAATTAGCAGAAGAATGTGATATGGTTTGAATGTAAAATGTTCCCCACAGGTTCATGAGTTTGGAACCCTGGCCTGTAGCTGGTGGTGCTGTTTCAGGAAGTTTGGAACCTTTAGGAGGCCAGGCTTCGCTGGAGCTGGAGTGGGTGGACCACTGGGAATCAGCCTGTCAGTTTCCTAGCCTGGCCTGATTCCTGTCTGCCCTTCGCATTCTGGTCCACTCAAGTGTGAGCAGCCTCATGCTCCTGCTGCCACTGCCAAGGCAGATTTCACAGGCATGCCGTCCCCACCACAAGGGACTGTGCCCTCTTCATCCATGAGTCAAAACAAACCGTAACATCCTTAAGTTGCTTCTTCTGTGGTTATAGTCTTAGCAATGAGAAAAAACCCAATATAACCAAGAAATATAAATAAATGGAACACAACATGACATTCAGCAAAAGTTCTGCACACATACATGTGTGCATGTGTGGTATGCGTGTATGCATATGCATTTTTTGCATGTGTGTGACTGCACCTGTGTGAAATGCGTGTGGTGGCTTGAGGTTGATGCTGAGAATCATACTTGCTTACTCTTCCACCCTATTCATTGAGGCAGTTTCTCTCAGTCAAACCCAGAGCTCACTGATATGGTCAGTTTTGCTATCAGATTTCTCAGGTGATTCCCTCTCTGCCTCCTGAGGCTGGAATTACAGGCAGGCTGCCATGACTACCCAGCATATCCATGGGTTTCTGGGGATCCAAATTCTAGTCCTCATGGTTGCTAGACAAGTGCTCCAACCATTGAGCAACCCAGATCAGGGAAATAATATTTATTATTATTATTGTATACATTATTATATATATTTATTATTATTATTTATATCCCTGGCTGTCCTGGAACCCACTCTGTAGACCACGCGGGTCTCAAACACAGAGATCTGCCTGCCTCTGCCTCCTGAGTGCTGGGGTTAGAGGCGTGTGTCACCATGGCCAGCAAGGGCTACTGACTTTTGACAGGTGTGCAACAAAAGCATTACACACACACACACACACACACACACACACACACACACACACACTTGATTTAATAGAAACAGAATTTTCGAAGGGTGTCCAGAAGGAAAGGTGAGGGGCAGGTCCGGAAGAATCCTTGCAGATCACACAGGTAACAGAGGGATGAATCCTAAATAGACCAAGAAAACTGAGCCAAACCCAAACACAGAAACTGAACAAAACACAGGCAAAAGAGTGGATGGGATGGCCACCTGTGGAGAGAAACAGATGGCCGAGCAGCGGATGAACGGGGCCATACTGTTCTTCTTGAAGGACAGAAAGAAACCAAAGCCACAGCAGGGGAGCACTGTGGATGCCTAAAATAATAACATCAGGAAAACCCTGTGGAAGTGGGAAGTGAGGGAGCGGGAAGTCTCTGCAGTGTTGGAGGTTACACCCCCACACTCGAGGAAGAAAGTGGGGTGAAGTTAAACACACAGAGGGCACGAGACTCAACCCCCTGCAACCCTATGCACTTACTCAAGTGAGTTATAGTCACACAAATGCCCACACAAATGCTTATAGTGCTGATTTACAGCAGCTAAAAATGCAAAGCTTACAGATGTGCTTTCTAAATAAGCCATAGCACACCCCAGAAATCCAGGGGCAACAGATCGATCACGACACAGACATCAGAAACACAGTGTGACATGTGAGAGAAGCCAGACCCCAAGGCTACCATTCATGTGTTTTTCTGACAAATGGGAAAAGTAACATTGGTCCGTGGCTCCAGGGTGGAGCGGGGCTGGACTCACTCACTGCCAGGCTGTGTGGACATGTTTGCAGACAGCTGTGTCTTGTCTCATTTGTGGTCTAGGAGAGGCAAGCTGCAACCTCAGGACATTTGCACTGGCTGCTCCCTTCTATCTAGAGATCTCTGCCCCCCCTCAAATCACTGCTCTCCTGGTCCATCGCTTTTATTCTGTTAAGTCTAAGTTAGTTACTTAATAAGCATGCCTCTCTCCTGCCTGCAGAGGCCAGAAGAGGGTGTCGGATTGCCCGGAGCTGGGGCTACAAGGTGTGAGTCCCCTTATGTGAGTGCTTGGGAACCAGACTCAGGTCCTTTGCAAGAGCGGTGTGCACTCTGAGCCGGTTGCTAGCTAGCTCCTGGTGCTCGCTTTTTCCAAGTTTCACTTAGTTGCCATCCTTTTTTTAAAATTTAAGTTAGAAACAAGCTTGATTCACATGTCAATCCCAGCTCCCTCTCCCTCCCCTCCTCCCCTACCCTCCCCACCAGGTCTCCCCCCACCCCCCACCCAACCTCCACTCCGATCCTCAGGGAGGGTGAGGCCCTCCATGGGGGATCTCCAGAGTCTGTCATTTCATCCAGGGCAGGGCCTAGGCCCTCCCCCAAGAGTCCAGGCTGAGAGAGCCTCCCATATTGTGGCATGGGCACTCAAAGTCTATTTGTACCCAGGGGTAAATACTACCCAAGGCCCCATCGATTGCCTAGGCCTCCGCACTGACACCCACATTCAGGGGGTCTGGGTCAGTCCCATGCTTTCCACACAGCCATCAATCTGGGGGCCAAGAGCTCCTCCTTGTTCAGGTCAACCAATTCTGTGGGTTAAACCAGCCCAGTCTTACCCTTTGCTCATCAGTTCTCCCTTAATTGTCATCTTGACGAACTTTTCTGAAACTCCAGCCTGACCCTCACTCTACATCTTCTGTCCCCAGTTTCTTCCGCCACTTTTCAGCTTGTAAGACGGCATAACTGACAGGACCCTACTGCCTCTCATCTCTAAGGCAACCTAGCCCCTCTGGATCCTTGCACAGAGATCCCCATCACAGGGCCCAGAAGCTTAGCTTTGGGGGGGCACGCTTCCAGGGGGCGCTCAAGCAGACACCTCAGGCTGGCCTGTCTTCTACTTCCCCTCCGGACCCGGCAGATGCTCTTGGGAGATACTGCCTCCCTGGTCCTGAGATCAAGCTGGGGAAGAGACTATTGGGAGGTTAGGCAGAGAAGGGGGCAGGCCACTGAACAGAGGTGAGGCCCGGGCTGTGGGGTGAGTTGTAGCCCTGCTGTGAACTTACTGCTGCCCCTGCTCCAGGGCTGAAGGAAGCCTTACTACAGCTTGTATCCTTGAAGGTTGGACTATCTGAATGATTGGGGCTAAGGTGGGTCCTGAGGACAGGGCCCAAGCACAGGGTTGGTGCCTCCATAGGAGGCTGTCTCTTTCCCCCAGGGAAGCACCCAGCCGGAGGGTGGTGTCCGTGAGCCGGGAACTGGACTCATCGGACGCCATCACACCATGAGCTCTGAAACTGAGGGAGACGAGTCTGGGGGGAGGTGTCCAGTCCTTGCTGCTCTGCCACTGCACAGAGCGGCCTGAGCCCTCACTGAGGCAGAGTTGACCTCTGCGAGCAGACCGAAGTTTGTCAGCAACCGTGACTCTCAACTTCCTGCCCTCATGGGGCCGACATTGCAATGCGGTGGGATACAGAGGCGAGCGACCAGACAGCAGCGATGTGGACATTGTTGGCCAGGCCGAGATGTGGGAGACCATGAGGCAGAGGAGGGAGTCAACTCAAATAGCAGGCCTGGAAGGCTAGGCCAAGGCTATGGCCGGCGGGCAAAGCCACCCTGCGGGTGCCTCATCTGTGTGTATATGTACCGGGTGTACATACATGAGCATATGCACGTGTGTGTGCACACATGTGTATACCTGTGTGCATATGTGTATATACATGCGTATGTATATACCTGTGTATACATGTATGTATGCGTACATATGTGTACATGTGCATGTGTATACTGCGGGTATACATGTGTATTTGTGTGTACATGCACGCGTGTGTAGAATGAGTGAGCAGTAGCATTTCCTCTCCTCAGTCAGGCCTGTAAGAACTCGAGTTGTTGCATTCTTCCCACTCTGCCCTGAAGAAGCTGACACAGAAGCAGGCAGCAGCCTGTGGTGTCTGCCCAGACGTCCATCGCTGGCTAACTGTGCTGTGGCCCTGGTCTATCTTCATTTCCGGTCCTCATGAGCAGTTGCTGCCCTTTCTCCCCATAGAAGGGTACAGTTTGTGGTCCAGTTCTGTCACTCCCCCATCACACTGAGGTCCTGCTGGGTTTGCTCTTGGAGGTGAGAACCCTAGACACTGTGCTGGCACAGCCCACCCAGAATTCGCCTTTTGGGGTGGTGTTGCTGCCCGGAAAGTGAAAAAGCCAGGTGCCTGGAGGCTGGGTGGCCCCTGGCTCCCCCATGCCCTCCAGGGATGGACTGACCTGGGGTCGTAGGACATGGCTGATGAGGGCCCATCAGTTGAGCTGCGACTGTGTGACCTGTCAGACTGCTTCCCGTCCATGTTGTGGCTCAGAGCAGGAGACACTCAGATCCCGACTGCCAGCCCTGTCCACACCAACAGGTTAGCTCTGTCCCGGGCATTGTCCCTTCTCTTGGTGCCCTGACCTCACCCTGACGTCACAATGGCTCCAGTGTTCACAACGGCCTTCCGGCAACAGTGGTGTGGAGCCCGCACTGTCTGGGGGTGGTAGGCTGGGGGTGTGCGCTTGGGTCTACATATGCAGAGGATGTGCGTCCCTGGGAGGCCTCGTGCCTGACTTCTGTCTTCAGGCCAGATATCCTCTGTGACTTGTGGATGAGGGGACCATCGGTTACAGGAGTCCAGGGCCCTGTGGTGACAGCAGGGCCTAGGGTGGAGCTGTGACTTGAGGGCTCCACTTGAGCTTACGAGGTGCTACACACTCCCATCTGGGGCTACCCTGCCCCCAGCTGCCCCTCAAGGACACAACTACTGGAGTGAGGGCAGCCTGAGGCTCCAAGTAAAGGGTGGGGCAGCCTGCCCCAGCCTACTGTTAGATGATGCTGAGGTCCAGTGACCCTGAGACCCAAGCCATTCAACCCACCATGCCTTGGTTTCCCCACCTGTGAAATGGGAGCACATTTGGGATGCTTCAAGGCTCAATGAGAGGACAGAGTACACTGTGTCTTGGTTCTGTTGCCAAAAGGGCTGCAGCCCCTTGGAGTATGCTGGACCCGGTGGGAGAGGGATGGGGGAGCTGTGTTGTTGATGTTGGAGGGACCACACCAGTCCAATAGTCAGCCAGGATGGCAGCAATCCCAGTCCTGGCCGATGGCGCTGAGTGTCACAGTGATCAGTGTTGGGGGCTCCTGGGACTCACCCTCACCCCCCAAAGTGTGGGGCGCAAAGCAGGAAACCAGTCCTCAAGAGGGGCAGTGCTCTGTCTGGACTTCCTGGTGCTCACGAGCCCCCAGGCCATGTGCCCTGCTTCAGCAGCGGAGTAGGTTTGTTGGAGGTCCTGAAACTTCCTCACACAGCAGGAAGGCTCACACTTAACTACTCACGAGGGAGGTCATAGTTCAGCTGGCTCGGGGCTTTCATTAGTGTGTGGTGGCTCCAAGAGCCCCAGTGAGGATTTTTGTTTGGGGCCCTCGACCAAGGGTGTGTGGCCCTACAGGCTTCCTGGGCGACTCCTGAAGTTTTAGGAATTTCGTGTGCTGGTTGCTAAATAAAGCTACAGAAAGCTAAAACAGGTTGCCTCTCGTCCCCACACTATCCCTTCCTGGTTTTGTGGCCATGTCACTGTCCTCCATGCTGCTAAGCCCGTTACTGTGCACTACACCGGCGTGGGCGGGGAGCTATGTGCTGGTGTCTGTGCGAGTCACAATCACCCATGGTGTTCATGAGAACCTGAATCCAGCTGTGCTCCTGGCTGTGCCATGCTGGTATTGGCCTGCCTGTGGGCACCACCAGCTTCTGCCAGACATAGGCTCCCTGTCTAGTAGGGGCCATTTCTTCCTCCTGTTACCCAAAAGTCAAATGTGCCCACTGTCCTGGTCTGGGATGACATTCAGAGGGTCATAATAAATCGTTCAAGGTCACACCGCTGTCAGGGGTGGAGGAAGCAGGATGTCACCTCAGGCCGCTAGATAAGTCCAGCGTGGGCATGAGGCCCCGTGACCATCTGGCACTCTCTCTCCTGGGTATTAGCTTCCTCATCCTGCCTCGGTGTCTCACCTGCTGGGCTTCCCAGCTCCCTCATGCAGCCAGCAGGTGGCGCTGTGGTCACAGACAGAACTGCGGTCAGAGGGCCGCAGTGGGGCAGTGTGAGGAGGGGAGGGGGAGGAGGGGACTCCTGAGTCTGCCTGCGACCCTGGAGTGAGCTGCTTATCCCCAGCACCCTCTCAGGTCCAACGCCAGTAGCGGGGGGCGTCGTGGGCCCCTGTTCTCAGCAATACAGTGCGGCCCCTTTGACCGACCTCAGCCTCAGGCTGGGAAGCCATTTGGAAGAAAATCTGGCGGCGGGGGTGGGGGGATGATGTGAACCCCAAAAGCACAGGTAAAAGGGCGGAGATGGATGGGGGAGACAGCGCCCAAGCAGAAAGCCCAGCAAAGCCCAGGAAGATGAAAAGGCATTTCTCCTCAGCCAGGGGAAGGCACTGGCAACCATCAAACAGTAAAGAAAATGTCCAGCTCATCGACAGACAGACCAAGCCCCACCAAAAGGGCAGGGCAGCATGGGTGGCATTCTCCAGAGTGGACAGACACCTGGCTAGCAGGTACCCAGACAGGTGCCTCCATCACCGGAAGCCCAGGCAGGGCTATCAGAGCTCTCACCTGTCAGGACAGACTGTCAGAAAGCAAGACTCTGGTGTGGGGGCGGGGGACGCTCCTGCCCCATGGGTGAAGTGTGACGTGGTGCAGCCGGTGAGGGAAACGGTATGGAGGTTCCTCAGAAAATTAAAAATGGCACCGCCATCTGATTCGGTGATCACCCTTCTGGGCACACGTCCAAAAGCATCAAGATTAGGAAGGATCTCAGGAGGTGTCATGCCCTGCTTGCCGAGGTAGCCGCTCGGCCAGGATGCGGGAGCAGCTTGCGTCCCTCTCTGACTGGATGGGTGGGGCCCATGAGTAGGCACCCAGGGGAATACCATCCAGCTCTTAACAAGCAGGGAAGCCGCTGGGTGTCTCAGACCCCTGGCTGCCCCTGCAGACCCTGCACTGAGTGAAGAGTTGCCACAGCAGACCTTGTGGCTGGTCTTACTCCCACAACAGGTCTGGAGTCCGTAGACGGCCAGCTGGGTAGTGGGACCCAGACGCCAGGGCTGGGGAAGGATGGGAGCTGCTGGCCCACGGCTTTGGGAGATGGACAGGGAGGCACATGGGCTTGGAGGTGCCCAGCAGACCAGGGGGCTCCTTGGAAGGGGACAGAGAGTGGTGCTGAGGGACAAGAGTGTGCTTGCCCTGCAGGGGGTGGCAAAGCCCCGCAGGAGATGTAAAAATGCCGGCGATGGGGATGATGGACAGGTCCCATTCCACCACTGCAGTGCTGCTGTATGAGTCAGTGCGGCCTTGTAACAAGCAGCCCCTGGCAGTGAGCTTGCTCACAGGATGGCTGCAGTTTGGGCCTCCTCTTCCCCAGGCCCCAGACCCAGCTACAAGCTTGGGTGTTCGCTTTTCTGAAGTTGTCTTGGCTTCTGGGCCTTCTTACAGCCTGCAGGCATATACGGAGGGGAGTGACACATCCCAGCCTCCTTCAGGGATTATGGCTAGCCCGGACCATGAATATTAGGGTGGCACCTAGAGAGGCTATACCACAGTGCTCAGTGTTCCTGCTAGAGTTCTTACCTTCGCAGCCCCACATCTTAGACCCCTCTACCGTGCTATGTCCACTGCCACAGAGGCTTCTTGGGACGGGAGACTTAGTCTGGCTCAGATTCAGAGTTTCTGAGGACGGGAGCTGATGGTTTGTCTCCTGGGCTCTGGGAACACTCCTGGGGTGCCCAGGGCAGGGTGGCCCGAGGGGGAGTCAAGTTCTCAGGAGTCCTGTGGGCACAGGCTGGGATGTGAACACCAGCTTGAGCTGAGACAAGACAGGATATGCAGTCACCTTCCGACTCCCATGAACCCCTTCCAGATGGGGCCCCTTTAAATGCAAGGTTCTGTCTTCCAGAAGGCCACTCCCAGTCTCCTGGGCAGTGAAGTAAACAGACGTGGGACCCTAGCTTCTGATATGGCTTCCCCTTGCTCTTCAGACCTCAGCCCCACTAGTCTGCCCCCGCCCCCTGTCACCACTCCAGGTGAGACGTGTGGGAAGGGTGATGTCTGAGGCAGGGCAGTGGGTCCCTTGTCTTCCAGAGAGCGGGGGTGGGGTCCGGACAGCAGCGGGCATAGGCCTCTTCCTCAGAGCTCCTTCCTGCTCCCAGTCTCTCCTTTGCCCTAGGAGCCCTCCCGGGGGAGAACAGACACGCCCTTCTTTGTTCCGGCCACACCTCCTTAAGGCCCTCTAGGACCCCAGGACCTTAGCCCTCCCTGCTTGTGGGGACACGGCCCTCTTGGTCACTGCCTGTTTCCCTGTCATCCCATTGGCTGGCTCAGGCCTCTGGATTCATCCTCTGTACCCACCTCAGGGTTCAGGCTCTCTCTGCTCTGCTCTCTTGGGGGAGCTCCTGGCCCATGTCGGGGAACCACACTCCGTTTTCACACATCTCCCCGCACCCCCAGCTTTCCTTACCTCCCTCCCACCCGGCCTTCTCTGGCTCATGCCCTTGCTTGGCGACCCCGCCTCCCCAATGCTACCCCGCCCTTGCCTGTGTCCACTAAGCCTGCAGAAGCATGTCTTCAATCTCCTTTCTTTACGGCAGCCTCCAGCAGGCCGGGTCCCACGCGACCTCCCTGACTGCCTGTCGCTGTCCTAAGCAGCAGCCAGGGGCTTTCTCTCTCTCTCTCTCTGCGCCCCTCCTCAGCACAGCTGCTGTCTCTGAACCCCTTTCCCCATAACACTGAAGCCATCACAGCAGCACCCAGCCCCACCCCGGCTCTGCTCACCTACACACCCCCAGTCAAGCCCACCCTCCTCTCAGCCCCACCCCAAACTCCCACCTCAGGGTCTCCTCAGAGGTGGTTGGCTCCTGCTCTTGCTCTCAACCTCACTCCCTTAGCAGTGACTGCCCCCATTTCTCTGCTCCTCATTTATAACGGAATCTGCCAGAAGCTTACTTATCCTTGCTGCCTCCCAGTCTTTCTCTCCCAGCTGCTCTTGAACCCATTCTAGCCAGGCTTAATTTCTGTACCACCCTGAAGCAACTCAGGTCAAGGTCACTGATGACCTCCATGATGCTAAATCTGAGGCCAGCTCTCGGGCCTCATCCGAGCGTGACCCACTGGCAGCATGGGACTCAGGCCCTCTGGCTTCCAGAACCTCCCACACCGTTTCTAGGTAACTGACTCCTCCTTGGTCCCCTCCCTGGCTTTTCCTCTCCATGACCTGTCAAGGGCAGATGGCACTTCTGGGTCTCCCTCCCCTGCCCTCCCCTCCCCTGACCTCCCCTCCCCTTCCCCCTCCCCTGGTGATTTCATCCACTCTTTTAGCTCTGCACC